TTGCATCAACCAGGACTATCTCAACTCATGGCACACCAACACAATACCAAGTCCCACATCAGCTTCAGCCATGCGTCGATCTTTTGATCCGTTGACAACTTGACCTCTCCCAAAGGCGGTGGTGCCTGTCCGACGGGCTGCACTGAACAAAACCAGCAGGAACAAGCGATTGCCCATTACCTCTAAAGCACTATGTTGGTCAATTTGGGCTAGCCGCAGCTAGCTGCGCGCTATATACTGCAACGCGTCGCATTTAACAGCAGCTAAACAGGGTGCTGCATGCACCAGAAAACATATCTTGCTTCAACTGAATAATGCAAAACACTGGTGACTTGTTGTAGATACAATACTCGGTCCCAAAAGGGTCTTTGATTTTCACGCCTGTTTCAAGGGCATGGGGAGCACGTTCTGCTTGGAATGATGGTTCTTTCCAGCTGTTCGCATCTGCCCGCGCTTCGCTCCTTAACCTGGGAACCCTTTGCTAGCTGGCCTTCAGCGAAGAAAACACGAAGCAACCATGCGCTTTGATGGGGCCTACTGTGTTTCTTGCAGGCTACCATGGTCACAGCTTCAAGCTTCCAACGGGCACGTGCTGAGATGACTGGCCAAGCGTGCAGTCTTGGTAAGCAACTATTCAGCAGCCCGAAGCATTGTCAGCGATCAGCAGCAACGCCCTACAGAGAGTTGCTAATTTATCCTCTTCTGTTGCCAGTGGGCCTTGGCACAATATCAATGTTTAGTCGTGCCTGCAACTTAACGTACAGCAACATTTGAAGAAGAGGACATTTCCACCACGCACGCGTCCCAATTTCTGCTCTGCGACAATTTCTGTTGGTGAGCAAACACCTCTCCCTGCAGAACGCTGCGGCTGCATCTTTTGGCTGGCTTCCCTGCGCAGGCGCGCCCACGCAAATGCAGCCGGCACAGCTCTGCTTCGGTCAAGACCACGTGGGGGCCATGGGCTTGCAGGGATGCTCTGGTCGCTTCAGTCGAGTTGCCTGAGTTCCTGTCGCAAAATCCGGGTCTCACCTTGGGTCCCATGGCATCAGCACAGTCGCAAGGGGTTTGCGCGGAGTAGGACTGGAGTCTCCAACTGTAAGATGAAGACGTCGAGCACGGAAGACTTCAGCCGCACATGGCGGATCCATTTGCCTGCCGCATGCACCTAGGCATGGTGAGACCCATGCAGACATGAAACACCGTGTGCACAATTTGCAGCCGTTGCCCTAAATGAGTATATCGTTACTAGTTTCCTTATACAGTTTGCATGGCGTTCACTATGGCACTGAATGCTGGAAGTGTGCTCAGAATTGGACAGGGTTGAACACGAAGCTTGCCGTCGGAAAACACTCGGGAGGCCCAACTCGTGGCCGTTGCTTGCATGTTAGGGCTTATCTAGGTCGCTCTTCGCCCAGCAAAAAGTTTAGCCTTTTGCGGGTTTAATGCAAAAGCCATTTGTTTCCAGTTCACAAAGGCCAGTCATGTTAAGGAGGAACCATACGCGCTGCTGTGGTTGATTCATAAGGGGTGGGGGTTTCTCTCCTTCCCCGGGTGTCCTGTGAACACCCGGGATCTTTCCTGCAAGGTGACTAACGTCCATTTGCTTAAGCCCCTGGAAAAAAAAAACACAAAAAACACATATGCCAGTAGTGATAGATTCCCTTTAAAGCCAGCAAGGGAACATAGACAAAATGTTCTTAAGCAAATGGATGCAAAGCAAAGAACACAGGAGCCTAAACCGATTGGAATAAACGGAGCAACAACAATTACACTCATGTGCGAGTAGCATCCTCCACCCCACCATGAGAACCCATCTGGGGTCACCAACAAAAAGGTTCAGGTGTCCACCTGTCGAAGAAGGCCTGGCAGCCTAAAGCAAGAAAGAGACAGGGAGACGGTATATCCCCTTTGTATCACTCCATAGAGTCTTTTCGGGATCTAGTGTGGCCTATCTAGCCCCCAAATAAGCAACAGCTTCCAAGGATGCAGTGAAGGGCTATCTGTCAATCCAAAAAGGTCTCATTGGATCTCTTGGGCTGAATCCAAGGATCTGCCTCATGGTTGATAAAAGCGCAGAACAAATCGACTGAGCCAACCTGCAGAAGGTGGGATTGAACCATCTGCTCGACAGCAGGGGTTGATGACCATTGGATTCCCCCCAGACCAAAATCTAAAGGGGTGAAGCCGCTTTCCAGACCCCAGTTCCCAAATTTGCGGGTTGCGCGGGGTCCAAGGAGCTGTGTCATCCGCCAGCCACGGCTGAATCGCCTCCAGCACCTCATTGCAATGCTTCGGCCGCCAGGGGCTCTGCGTGCAGAGCGTCACGTGGGGCCGTTGCTTCTCCGCCAGCGGGCAGCCGCTTCCGCGCAGCTCCGAGCCCTCCACCTCGCAACTTGGAGCGAAGGCGAGGGGACGTCTCCAAAAAAAGGAAACCACAAATGCTTCACTGGAGTTTCCTACAAAGAAGAAAAAAAGGTTTGGTGAAGATTGGTGAAGAAACGCCCAAATGGCAACCATGGATACCTGTCACACATTCTGATAAGCGCCATGGCCATTTACCCCAAACTTTGACCCCTTTTATGGAACCCTGGGTCAAAGGGCGTGCGGTCCCCTGTCAGTGCTTGGATGTTCCCGGTCAGTGAAGTCAGAGTTGGCACAATGCAGGTTGCACGGTTCTACCAGCTTTGTTGGTCCGTGAGAGGTCAGGCAGGTTATTCTTTGTCGCTTGCTTAGCCTCAGTGATTCCAAGCACCTGCGTGGGAAAACAACGGAAGTCAGCATGGCAAAGATAAGGGGCAATGCGTTGCGGCTTGCCAAGTCGATGTTTGTGGTGAGTCTTCGAGGTTTGGGAGGTGTTTCGGTGTGTCCTGTGCAGTTGTATGGGCTCGCAAGAAGCCATAGGAGTCATGTCAGGGAACCGTTCGGGAATGTCTGCGTGCAAAGAGCGGAAACGATAATTAGGGAGACAAACAGGGCAATGCATTCCTTACAGAAGGTGACCAAACAGCACAGGTAAACCAGAAGATGCCCATACTAGGTCCCCATAACGCCTTGAAGCCCGAGATTTGACATGAGTCTTTCCCTAAGCAGCTTAGCTGTTGGGGTTCTCTATGTATGCAAAGAATGGCCCCGCGCAAGCAAAAAAAACACACCTTGCTTTGACGTCTGGATTCAGCGAGCGGGAACCCCAAAAAGAAGAAGAAGAAGAAAAACGGACACCACCGGAGGCCAAGGACTTAAATTCGATGGCGATCCGAGACGTCGCACTTCGAGGCGCCACTGCAAAGGCCAGCGCACTGCGGGCGCCCACGATGTGAGACACCCGGCAGTCGAAGGCAGTGCCTACTGGCCGACCCCGGAGAAATCAACGAGAAATCTACCCATGGGTCTCACGCACAGTGTGAAGGATTCCCACCAAAAGGGGATTTTTAGAAATCAACCAGGGGGGAAATTTATTGAGGGTTAAAACACTACGGACTACGCGGCACCTGGACGCTCTTGGGGGGACCCCCCGTCAGGTGCCTGAGCAGGATGAAGCTGCACCAACATATTCCAAACATGCGTACACCTCGCGTAGTTGCTTGTTGTTTTCTTTGGTGAGAGGCTTCAACAAGCCAGCCTCAATCGATTTGGCCATGCCGCAGCCAAGTAGAGCTTTGGGCTGCTTTCTTGCCTCCCATCTGTCCAAATAGGCAAAAACCAGCGCAGATGGCACAAATGACCTTGTCCAAAAAGGACAACCATGCTGCGCTCTTGCCTCCCATCTGTCCAAATAGGCAAAAACCAGCGCAAATGGCACAAATGACCTTGTCCAAAAGGGACAACCATGCCCTCATGTCAAGTTGGGCCGTTGCGAGCGTCAATCTGTGACGTTTCATGCACGAGACATACAGCGGTTGTCTTTCCACACATTAAATATTGGCGACATCGTGCTCCGCCAAATTGAAGGAACAACTTTGAAGCCATGCCCACAAACAAAACAAAGGCCAAAAGCAAACACATACCCTGCCGAATGTAGCCATCATATTGTATCCACCGAATTCCCGCCAAAAAATTGCCGACTTCCCGCTGCCAGCTTCCCGTCAAGGTTGAGGCAACACGATTGCTCAGCAAACGTGCCGTCACGTGACAACAGCGCTGAGGTTGGAATACAATATATGGTTTCAGCTAGGTTCAATGTTCAGCTTCGAATGAAGTACAGTGTAAAATGATGTTGCCGGACTCTGTGGAAATTGCCTGGCAGCGACTGAGCAGCGTCCGACTATTAGTGATTGAAACGGTCTCACAACATCTTGGGTGCTGTAGATCCCCCAGCAAAAAGTTTAGCTTTTTGCTGGTTAGAAGGAAATATGAAGGGAATCCAAAAAGTTAAAGTCTAAAGATCCAACCCAATAGAGGTAGAGACATCTGCCTGTGCTTCAACTACGCCGTATCCCCACCCACACCTGCTACATTATGAAATGCCCATCGTGACACTAGTTACGTACTGAAAAGTTGAAATACCGTGTGACGAATTCAGAACGCAAATTGTGCAAAATGAAGCGCGGAACGGCTACGGCTGTCTTTCCCGAGTCAATTCCACAAACTTTTAATTTGGGTGCGAGACATTTATTGAGCCATGCCATGCGCGTGCCATGTCAGCATATCAACTGTTTGCTGCTTGCGTGGCGCCGTGCTTTCCTCATCTTCGACCCTTGCGCATGCGTCTGAGGATGTTGCAGTGGCCAGGGGGCGAAACGGAAGCCCGCACTATCCCGCACTCCTCTCCTGCCCATGTCCCACAAAGGAACAACCCAAGCAAAATAATGAAAGCACTGCAGGATGGAGCAATTGGAGCTCTGCCAGCTGCCCAGCGACCCTCATAGAACAAGGGACCTCCAACAAAATGGGGTTTGCCATTTAGTGGGGAACCCACCAATCCACATGACGCTTTACTGGTAGAACCCGCTCACCAACACCTGAGTTGCCCCTGCCTTCCCAATAAAGGCGCTTGGACGCGCTCACCACCTCCCGCTGGGTGTCAGTGCCCAGGTAGCAGGTGGTGACATGCAGGGACTCCGGGCGTTGGAAGAAGGGCGCTGGGAAAATGTCCCCATCGCAGGTGTCCGTGACTGCACCTGTCCATGCAGCTCAAGTGATATGTCATGCCCGTTCAAGAATCCCCTTCACTTGTGCTGATCCACTTTGCACACCCCCTTCACCCCCAAATCTTGCACCATCCCGAAGGTCTTCCAACCAGGCCCTGCTTCATTTCCCTTCATTTCAGGCACACATCGCGAGGGACAGCTTGGAGAGCAAACCGTCCAGTGCTTCATGGTGTGCTTCCACATCCAGGGCAATGTAGCGCAGGCCTCAGCAACAGCTGACCGAACTGCCGCACACCTCCACCTGCCGAATGTTCAGGTGTTCAAAACGATCTGCTTGCCACCCCAGGTCAATCATCCCAAATACCGCAGGACTACAAACACTGCATCTGTTGGATTGGCGATTTCAGTTAGCTCTGGCTCAGGGTCCTTCCAGTGGTAGAGCTGTGCCACTGAACCCCTGAGGGTTTAGCCATGTACCGTCAAGTGCAGGCCGGCAAGGCCGCACTTCACAGGCTTGCCGCAGGAGATCCTGCACACAACCTGCCGTTCTATGAGCCGGACCTCAAAGAGATCGAGCACGGAACCCTGGTCACCCTTCGATGCAAGGTGCTTTCCCAAGGGCCTGAGGGCCACGTCGCAGTTACTGGCTTTCGAGGGGTGGTGTTTCGACTTCGCCTGACGTTGGCCCTGCCTTGTGAGGAGCTCACCCTGTTTGGCTTTCGTGTGCAGCATGGAACGCATATCACACTGGAGCAGGTTCCCGGTAGCCATTTGCATCCGCACCATGCGCCCAAGCATGAGGACCTTCTGCAGGTCATAGAGCTGTGTGCTGGCATCGGAGCCGGAACTCAGGGAGCCACCGCTGCCGGCTTCACTGTTGCCGCTGCAGCTGAAATTAGGCCACCCCTGGCCCAGCTGTTGGCGGCGAATTGCCAGGGGCACGTCGTGCAAGGGGACATCAACACCCCATACACCATCCAGCAGGTTGCAAGGGCCGCGCCCAAGGCCAAAGTGCTTAGTGCTGGAGTGTCATGCCAGCCATACAGTGCTGGCGGTGATCGCCGGTCCGGGGCTGATGAACGGGCCTGGACGTTAGCAGGCGCATTGCAGGCCGCAAGCCTCCTTGGCTCCCATCTGATAGTACTTGAGTGCGTCAAGGAGGCCGCCAAGGACACATATGTCCAGAAAGCCGTGGAACAGTACTGCATTCTGCATGATACCTGTTGCACACAGCAGGTTTTGGAATTGGCGCATGTGTGGCCATCCAAGCGTTGCAGGTGGTGGTGTGTGATTTCCGCCAAGTGGATTGGGTCCGTTACCTTGTGCGACCTTCCCAACCGTGAACAGCACTGTGTGGTTTGCCAGGTGATCCCACGTTCGTTGACCTGGCCGGTTGAGGAAGAAAGTCAGCTAGAGCTAACCCCTTATGAGCTTCGCAACTTTCGTGATTATAGCCAAGGCTTAGATGCTCTAGAGCTCAAAGCAGACCAGATCGCACCCACTGCATTGCACAGCTGGGGCAATCAAGTATACGGTTGCCGGTGCGGATGTAGATCCCAAGGCTTCAGCTTGGCCAGAATGGAGCAAAGGGGATTGTGGTCCCCATTGATCCGTCTCCCAGGCACCGTCACCATTGACGGTGAAGATGTGCCGAGGTACCGACACCCTCACCCCAGGGAAGTTGCTTTGCTCACAGGCTTGCATCCGGACATCCATGTCGGTGATGACATGAGGCTGGCTTTGTGTGGAGTTGGTCAGCTTGCATCCCCGTTGCAAAGTGCTTGGATCTATGGTGCGATTCGTACCACACTGCAGCAGACTTTCTGCGACCGTGAGCCGTTTCTTGCGGGTGAGCCACTGCTCAATGCCATGATTCAAGAGCTTGTGGATGCTGCCGCTAAGCTCGGCCACCCGGTGCCTTCGCATGAGCCTGATAGTGAAGATGAGTTCCGTGACATTGCCAGGAGCATTGAGATGCAGCCATCCCCAAAGCGCCGTAAGACATCCACCGTGTGGGTTTGTGGAGTCGGGTCTTCTAAACCCACGCCAGTGACGGTGCCTGAAGGCACTGTTGCATCACACATCAGCAGTGCCGAAACCAAAGTCCTCGGTGCTGGGACCACCACGTGGCCCCTGCAGGACCATGCCGAAATCTTGGCAGGCCAGCATGTGTATGTCACCCTGACACAGCCATCGCCAGTTGAGACCCTTGCAGTCGCTGCATTGCATGTCCCAGCCAGTGAAGGGGAATCTGAGTCGCCTAGTGACGCCAGGTTGGCTATGTCGCCTTACCGGGGTGCCCCTGGCTCGGCATCAGCCGTTGAGCCTGCAGCTCCCACCAGTGCCAGCCACCTCCGCGACCTTGTGACCGCTACCGAAACGTTTGCCATCCAGAGTGAGGTTCCAGTTGAAGTGCAGGTCCAGCCCACAACCTGGAATTTTGCCGGCGGTCAGCTCACCAGAGAGCAAGGCCACTTGTGTTCCATCCCGGTGCCCAAAGCCACAAGTGCAGCGCGTGTACATGAGCTACGCGGTGTAGTTATCCGTGTTGAATCCAGGGTCCGCATGCACAATGAAGCCGGGCCACTGTGGGCCGACGATGAGATGCTGTTCCACTTGCAACGCATTGCCAGTGTTGCTGGTCAATCCCTGCACTGCCTAGTGGTTGATCCCATTGTGACCACCAATGCAGCCCAGTTCGAAGTTCCCGCTCTGCAAACCTGGTGGAATGAGGCGAAGCCTACGTGTGGTGCCATCATCATCACAGCGGCACAGATCCAAGAGCATTGGGTTCCCATCGTGTTTCGATTCACGTCAGCAGGAGTCGTGCACACCAGAGTCACTGACCCAGCCATGCTGTTGCCTATCCGTAGGCTGTACCAGCAAGTGCCTGTGACATGCCAAGCTCAGATGCCCTTTCAGTTTGAAACCCGGGCAGCACCCGCCGACTATCACTGTGGTGCACGCGCATACCAGTTCTTGTGTGAGCAGGTTTTTGAGCACCGCACTGACGAATCGCCAGCACAAGTCTCGTGCAGACTTAAATTGACCTTCCTCACAACCATGCTGAGCCATGATGACACGTCTAAGCCCTATATCTGGGGAGGTGGACCCACTGTGCCTGTGGAAGACCTTGCAGCTATCCTTGTCAAGCATGGAGTTTCGCCAGAAAACTCCCACCCACGTGCGCTAGCTGCCATCGCCGCCATTGGCCATGCTAGCATTGCCCGTGCCATTGCGTCACCACAGCAATGGAGGGAACTCAAGGCTCTAGGCAATCAGTGTAGGCCACCATTCCTTTGGATTCAAGCAGATGAACTCCAAGCCCAGATCCAAGCCAGGGCGATTGGGGGAAAGGCCATAGGTCACAAAAAGGCCAAACCTGCCAAGAGCAAAGCGAAGCAAGCCCAGCCTGTCATTCCCGATGTGCAGCAAATTGCAATTGCCAAGGGTGTGTTCTTTCAGGAACCGGATATACCACTTGCGCAGATGTCAATCAAGCAGATTGGGCCGTGTGCCGCCGGGGTCGCGGTCTCTACATGTGCTGAAGCCCAGTCCTACATCAAAGCGGGGAGAACCATCTCTGCGCAGGCCTTTGGCTTGATTGTGTTGGAGTTACCCAGTATGCTCCCGACTGATGCCCTTAGCATTGAACAAGTGCAATTTCCTGCCACCTGTACCTCGACAGGAGAACCCATCATTGTGACGGGCTCGATCATTCAACTGGGAGACCGTAGGGCCGTCAAGCATGTGCCTAAGCAAGTCATGGGTGTCCAAGTTGTCCCGTCCCAGGTAGTACGCCTTGTCATCTACCGGGACCAAGCCAAGGACCCATGGGCCGAGATCAGTCAGAAGCCGGTCCGGTACCTGATGGATAACCTCCCTCTGCTGAAGTTGTGCAAAGAAGCAGAATGCGAGTGCCCCAAATGGCACAATTTGAAGCAGCTGCCCACCAGTGATGTCGTCCTTGACCTTTGGAAGCGTCAATTTGTAGGTACCAATGGCAAGCCTGCTCAGCCACATGATGCGCAGACCTTCTTGGTCAATCTCCGCATCCCAGCAGAGATCCTGGAGATGCTTTTGCCCGCGTCCGGGACTGCCGGCATCTACATTGAGCCACGGGCCAGTGATGGGCGTGGTCCCCACCCCGATTACCAAGCTATTTGGACCAAAGCTACGTCGCATGAAGCCGAAATTCAGTGTCAGGTCCACCTTGCCGCACTTGGTCTCATCCGAGCCGGTGATAGGTATGGCATCAGGGTCCGCAATGGCGATGCTGAAGACCTTCACAAAGCACTGAAACCCAATGTGCCATTCGTAGGAGGGCAAAAGCAGGTGTTCGAAGCTGGTCCATTCCCCTTCGGTGTTCAGAGGGAAGCGATCCAAGCCTGGATCTCGGAGTGGAAGTGGCAAGCCCGACCGCTGCACACGGTCTCAGGGGGCGCTGACAAGCAAGGCACGTACTGGCGGATCCAAGCCTCCGCGCCACCGCCCGCAAGCAGTGTCCAGCTGCAACATGACATAGTGCTTGTCCATCAGGTTGCTGATCGTCAGACACAGATCCCGCTTCCAGGACCCGTAGTCGCAAGCCAGCGTACCCTGAAGAGCATCCAAGCGGGGGAAGACCCGTTGGTGCTAAACGACCCCTGGCAGAAAGCAAGAGCCAACAACCCAGGTCCGGCCGCCGCTGCTAGCAGCACAACGGCTCCCAGCGTTCTTGCCCACATAGATCAACAAGTTGCCAGCATTGTGCAATCGCACCTGCAGCAAGCCGATGTGGACATGGAAACCCATGGCTTTCAGGATCAAATCGATCAGACCAATACGAAGATCGACTACCTGGAGCGTAAGCTAATTGACTTACACCAGCAGCAGCAGCGCACCACCGAAGCCAGGTTCCAGAGTGTGGAACAGCAAGTGCAGTCGGTTGAGACTGCGGTGCAATCCCAGCAATCCTCGATGCAGCTGATGTTTGACACGCAAATGGCCAAGATCGAGTCCCTGCTCCTCCAAAGTGGTCGTAGGGCCCGGTCGAGGTCACGCAAAGAGTGACTAGCTCGAGCACGAGCTTTAATTCAGTGCACCCGCACGCATCTCGCGTGCTTGCTTAGTGTGATGTGGTGGGCCATCATCGGCTCTTGCCTCATGTCATGCCGCATTGGGGAAGCCAAAGTCCCAGGGCCTTCGGGGACAGAATGCCTTTGGACACTTGGTGTTGCAAACCCCACAGGTTTGCAGGGGAAAGAAACGCAGCTAGGTCAGCT